AGGTTACACAGGAAAGTGTCCAGGTGGGTTTTGAACATCTCCAGCGATGGAGACTCCACAACCTCTCTGGGCAGCCTGTCCCAGGGCTCTGGCACTCTGACAGTAAAGATGTTTTTCCTTAAGTTTGTCTGGAACTTCTCGTGTTCCAGTTTGTGCCCCTTTCCCCTTTTCTGGTCACTGGCCACCACCAAAAAGAGCCCAGCCCCATCCATTTCGCCCCCACATTCCAGATATTTATAGACATTGATAAGATACCCTCTCAGTCTTCTCTTCTCTAGGCTGAAGAGTCCCAGCTCTCTCAGCTTCTCCTTGTAAGGCAGATGCTCCAGGCCCTTCATCATCTTTGTGGCCTCCACTAGACTCTCTCCAGAAGATCCCTGTCCCTCTTGAACTGGGGAGCCCAGAACTGGACAGAACACTCCAGATGTGGCCTCACCAGGGCAGAGTAGAGGGGCAGGAGAACCTCCTTCAACCTGCTGGCTACACTCTTTTTAATGCACCCCAGGATACTGTTGGCCTTCCTGGCCACAAGGACACTATATAGGGCAATATATTAGCTGTGCAGAGATATTTCACTGATTTGATTTCAAGCACATCTTCTACCACTTTCTCACCAGACCAAGCATCTAAGAACAAAAGTGTGACAGCAGCTGACTGTCCCCCTTCTCTCCATTTGTAGAATCAAGCGTGAAGTGGGTTTGATCCTGATGGAGTCTGTGTCAAAAGACCATCAACTTGAGTACTTAGTGGTATAGCTAAAGCACTTGGATCTACACTGTGGATCACCACTGTATGTTTCTAGCAGCACAATCCAGTGCCACAGCAGTTTCACACCGTCACTACTGTGTACAGTAAGTTGAGTTGTGGTCCTACTGAGACCAGTGTGGCAAGACTCCAGCTGGCTCCAACAGGAGTAGGATCAGACTCACAATAAAAAAGACCAACTAGCGTCAGGTTTCCTTTCCTAATTATACCAAACTGTGCTCTTTGCTGATCTATTTCATCCAGACAAGAGATGATAATTTTGCTGTGACCTTGTTTCCTGCTGTGCTATGGCAGAGCAACTAGTGAACAAAACCCAACTTGCCTCAGAGCGGAAAAACAATTGGCATGCATTTTTAATAAGTGTTTTTATTCACAATTAGGTATTTATGGCAGCCTGGGAGACAGAAATTGTAATATTTTCTAGCTTTTGAGGAGGTTCAGGTAAGGCAGTCTTTGTATAATGTGCTTTTAAAGCCATGCTGCACTGAGCAAGTCTCACACTTTCTTACCCTTCATGAGCTCCTCTCTGCAGAGAGAAATGCCAGCTGGAGGTTCGAAGGATGGACTTTCAACCTGCCTGATTCCTGAAGGCTGTGGAAGAAATATTTTTTCTTCTCTTCCACTCCTGAACTCCCAAATCCTGGCCTCAAAATTTGCTGATCTTTCAAGAGCTAGTGGAGGCCAGATGTAGAGAGATGTATGGGAGCTTAATGCCTCTGCTTTCTCTCCAAACATGAGGACGTCCGTTGCCTCCTGAAAGCTTTCCCAAGTGAAAGGGTTTGGCTGTTGTTTGGGGAACTGGTTAGCATTAGCTTGCTGTGCAATTTCCTGTCACTTGTGAGATGGTGAATAAGCTGAGGAAAAGTAGGTGGCCCCACTTTTCCATATATTGTAGTGAAACTGGGATCTTTGGGATATAAAAGCGTGGAAAGTTTTCAGCTGGACTGTGATTTAAAATAAATATCTCACCACCCAGTGTTTTAGTCTAGAGGAAGAGGTTTGAACCTGCGTCCTTTGCTAGGGTATTACACCGGTGCCTTTTTTAACCTATGTAAGACTTTTCTACAAGAATTTGAGGTGCAGAACCTCATCAGAATGAAAAAGAGATTGTCCATCTTTACTTTCATTGATTAAACCGAAGTTTTGCTCACTGTGAGTAGGACAGGTGAGTGACAGAGTGCGTTTGGTTACAACCATCAGAATCATAGAATGTATTGGGTTGGAAGGGCCCCTCAAACCCTGATCATCTGGTCCAACCCCCCTGCAGTGAGCAGGGACATCTGTACTAGAGCAGGTTGCTCAGAGCCCCATCCAGCCTGACCTTGAAGATCTCCAGGGATGGGACCTCCACTACCTCTCTGAGCAACCTGTTCCAATGATCCACCACCCTCATATTGCAGAACTTTTTCCTAATATCCAACCTAAATCTGCCCTTTTCTAGTTTAAAACCATCACCCCTCATCCTATTGCTGCCTGCCCTTGTGAACAGTTCTTCCCCAGCTTTCTTATAGCCACTTCTATGCTTAGGAAACCTGGGTGAGGGAGCAAATGAAAAGCTGGAGCTGTATCATTGGGCAGCTGTTTGAAAAGATCTCTTTTCTTCTTTTCTGTCTTCAGACCAAGTCCGAAACAGCTACTACATCGGTGCTGATGGTTCTCTCAGACTGATGCTGGCTAACGGCATGGAGGTGGCTCTGCAAACCGAGCCACATCTGCTGGCTGGCACCGTCAACCCCACGGTGGGGAAGAGGAATGTCACCCTGCCCATTGACAATGGCCTCAATCTCGTGGAGTGGAGGCAGAGGAAGGAGCAAGCAAGAGGGCAGGTCACCGTCTTTGGACGTCGGCTGAGGGTAAGTGAGCAGTATGGGCAGTTTTGGACTCTACTTCCCATCTCATCAGTCCCCAGTCTCATGACAGAAAGGGACAGGGCTGATTTGCATCATCTGCGATAGGGATGAAGCTGCAGGATGGAGAACTAAACTGTTCATCCTCAGTGGCACAACCTTGATGACTTGACTGTAGACTTATGTTCCTTTATGTTCTGACATTCTCTTAGCCATCACAGGTAATATTGCTGATTTGCCTACAAGTCCTCTGCATCACTGGGAACATGTGACCTCCCATCAGACACTGCAGGTTTAACCATCATGTCAGGCTGTTTAAGCAAGCAAGGGAACAATCATAACTATGAAATACTGCACCAACTGGTATAGATATTTTCTACCTGGCAGTAATAGACCTGAGCACCAAAAGCTTTGTAAGCATACGTGGACAGGCTGAGACAGTTGGGGCTGCTTAGCCCCAAGAGAAGAGAATCACACAGAATCACAGAATGTTGGGGATTGGAAGGGACCTCGAAAGATCGTCTAGTCCAATCCCCCTGCCAGAGCAGGAACCTAAACGAGATTAAACTGGAAGGCAGGCTCCAGGGAGACCTTCTAGCAGCCTTCCAGTACCTGAAGGGGCTCCAGGAAGGCTGGGGAGGGACTTTGGCCAAGGGCAGGGAGTGACAGAACAAGGGGTGATGGCTTGAAAGTGTCAGAGGGGAGATGGAGATGAGATGTGAGGAAGAAATTGTTTGGTGTGAGGGTGGTGAACCAGTGTCCCAGGTTGGCCAGAGAAGCTGTGGCTGCTCCTCCCTGGAAGTGTTGAAGGCCAGGTTGGATGAGGCTTTGAGCAACCTGGTCTAGTGGAAGGTGTCCCTGCTGATGGCAGGGGGGTTGGAACTGGATGATCTTTGAAGGTCCCTTCCAACCCAAACCAGTCTGGGATTCTATGATTATTGTTCACTGGGCAGCCTGAGAAAAATCTCTAGTTTTCTGAAAACTTGGTGATCTGTTGAACCTGTTGAAGAGCCAGACTGGCAGGACATTGCATCTCAATTCCCATTTTTCCCCTAATTGAAGTGTTACAATCAGCTCCAGCCTGATGGTACCGTGTGCTCCAGGAGCGCGTGGTCCTTTCTGTGCTTGAGACTGATGTGTTTTGAAAACACTGTTCCACACAATGCACCACAGACTTGTCAGGGCTGTTTAAAGATCTTGCCCAATAAGCCTGTAATTCCTCTGCTAACTGCTGGCAGGGCCGGTAACTTGTAATAGCAAGTCCTGAGCAATCACCCTGTACCTTGCTAGTCTCAGAGTCACGGGCTGATGAGCAGTTCCTGGGAAGCTGCTCAGCACCTGGCAAATTCAGAGCCTGTGAGAAAACTGCTTAGTGCTGTGTAATGCCACCGCAGCGAAGGGACTGCAGCTATTTATTCACACTTAGGCTTTGCAGGAAATACTAATGCTCTGGTTTCTGAATATGTGTTTCCCAGTCCTTGCTCTTCACCTCTCCCTATTCCCTGCAGCGTGACCTCTGCCACCTTGGTGTGATTTCTCCCATCTCTCCTCTCTCACACTTGTCAAGTAGTGCTCTTCACCCTCCCCAGCCCAGCCTCTGCTCTTTCCCCCTTGCGTCAATAGCCTCATTTTTGGTTATCAGGAGAAAAAGTGCAAACAGTTGTGAAAGCTGAAGCTGCTCCTTCAGTGGAAACTGCTGTGGCTCTGCAGATTAGTTGGCATCACCCTTCTTGATTGGTTTGTCTTGGGGTTTTTCTTTTTTCTTTTCTTTTCTTTTCTTTTCTTTTCTTTTCTTTTCTTTTCTTTTCTTTTCTTTTCTTTTCTTTTCTTTTCTTTTCTTTTCTTTTCTTTTCTTTTCTTGCATTTTCTTTTCTTTTCTTTTCTTTTCTTGCATTTTCTTTTCTTTTCTTTTCTTTTCTTGCATTTTCTTTTCTTTTCTTTTCTTTTCTTGCATTTTCTTTTCTTTTCTTTTCTTTTCTTGCATTTTCTTTTCTTTTCTTTTCTTTTCTTGCATTTTCTTTTCTTTTCTTTTCTTTTCTTGCATTTTCTTTTCTTTTCTTTTCTTTTCTTGCATTTTCTTTTCTTTTCTTTTCTTTTCTTGCATTTTCTTTTCTTTTCTTTTCTTTTCTTGCATTTTCTTTTCTTTTCTTTTCTTTTCTTGCATTTTCTTTTCTTTTCTTTTCTTTTCTTGCATTTTCTTTTCTTTTCTTTTCTTTTCTTGCATTTTCTTTTCTTTTCTTTTCTTTTCTTGCATTTTCTTTTCTTTTCTTTTCTTTTCTTGCATTTTTTCCTTTCCTTTCCTTTCCTTTCCTTTCCTTTCCTTTCCTTTCCTTTCCTTTCCTTTCCTTTTCATAACCACTGAAATTATGAGACAGGTATTTTTTGGAAAGCAGAGAGCCCTCTGAAATCCGCAGCTGTGTCACAGCTATTTAGTGTTCAAAGCCATTTCCGCTCATTTAGCCGCAGCTCAGCTGCCCGTGTCAGTTTTATCTTCCACAATTTTCACAGCAGATTCAAATGCAGAATGTGTCTTTGTTTTATATTGTGCTGCATTTGGAAAAACACTTGCAAAATGAATTTTCAGGCTGGTTACTTGTGTCCTCATAAATCTGCCAGCATTTATTCACATTTTGAGCCTATCGGGGCCCTTCTAGTGAAGCAGAAGAGCATCTTACATGGTTGAAGGACTCAGTTATGGCTCTGTTCAGGGGTTCAAAGTAGCTGAGGGTGTACAAGAAGTTTGAAGCTACCTGTTTATACCTGCATGGCAGCATCTGCACCTCTAAGACATAAACCTGCAAGGTGCTAATTGCCTCTCTGGGGATTGCCCAGCATTTAACATATTCTGTGTGTCATCTTCTCCTCTTCTCCTGTACGAGTAATTGCTGCTTTCCCTGTCAAGGGAGAAGCTTAAGGAAGTTAAAAGTTCAACATGTTTTTGTTCATTTTGGGAAATGTTATCATTTTTTGCCATATGTGAGTAAACCACTATTTTCCCTCTCCTCTCACACCACTGCTCACATGAGACAGCAGTGAAGACATGGTGCTCCATGGGCGAAGAGCACACCCAGAGAGGCTGCAGCATTGTTCCATGAAGCCTTTGAGATGAGGAGAACAGGATCTGACCATTGTAAAAGAGGGAGTTCCCCTGAAACCATCATCCTTTCTGCTGCCATCCCATGGATCCACATTTTGTGTTGTGACCCTTCCTCCCACGGTTACAGGGTGTTCTTGGGAACTGACAACCTGTTGCCATGAGCTTGACCAGCTCCCAACATGATGAGGCCAGTTTCACAGCTGACCCTCCCTAGGAAATAATACAACGCATGTGTTTATTGCAGGGATAAGGCACAGGGCAGGGACTTCTGCATGGATGAAGGGAAAGGGGCCAGCCCTGATGCCTTTTCAACACTCCCATCAATGCTGACCTGGCTCTGCACTTGGCCAGGGAGCAGTAAAGCAGCTCAGATATGTTAAAGCAGCTCTTTTCCCTCCTCCTGTGCCACAAACCCCATGGAAAGTTGTGATGTTCTGATGGACACACCCCGTAGTGAGATATTGTCCTCCTGTACTCGGCACCTTGAATACTGCTTTCAGTTGTGGGGCCCTCACACCAAGAAGGACATGGAGGTGCTGGAGCGTGTCCAGAGAAGGGCAACGGAGCTGGGGAAGGGTCTGGAGCACAAGTGTGCTGAGTTCACTTGTGGCTGAGGGGACTGGGGGTGTTGAGCCTGGGCTGAGGGGAGACCTTCTGGCTCTGTCCAACTCCCTGAAAGGAGGGTGGAGAGAGGTGGGGGTGGGTCTATTCAACCAAGGAACAAGTGACAGGACAAGAGGAAACAGCTTCAAGTTGCACCAAGGGAGGTTTAAATTGGATGTGAGGAAAAACTTCTTTACTGAAAGGGTTGTCAAGCATTGAAACAGGCTGATCAGGGCAGTGGTGGAGTCACCATCCCTGGAGTTATTTAAAAGATGTGTAGAAGTGGTGTTCAGGGACATGGTTTAGTGGTGAACTTGTCAGTGTTAGGTTAACAGTTCAACTCAATGATCTTCAAGGACTTTTCCAACCAAAATAATTCAATGATTCTATCTCTGAAAATTGCCTACTAATTCAACCCATCACTGGCCAACAGCAACACAAACTCCATCTGCAGTGAAAGTGTTTGGTATACTCTGCACCTTCCTTTTTTTTTTCTTTTTTTTAAAAAAAACAAATTTGAGTTTTTCAATAAAGAAGGATGTAAAATAATCTCTGACAGTGCAGCAAATAGGACAGCCAAAAGAGACAGAGCTGCTGGCTCAGCTCTGGTATTTATTTAACCATGGAAACTCCTGTTATAATTCACTTTGTTTTTCCCAAGACTTTGGCAGCAGGTTAATGATGGCATCAAGACCTAGTTTCCCAGACACTCCCAGAACCAGCATGACTGCAGAGGTGTCCTGGATGTGCTGATGTGTTGACTAACGAGGACAGTCCAGCATTGTGTCCACAATTTTTGCAAGGTGTTGAGGTCTGGATATGGTCACCCCAATAGTTTTAGCAATTCACTGGGCAATTGCTTTGTAGGCGGCCGTTTATCACAGATGATGTTGTCTCCTGGAGTTCTCATTGCAGAGGTATTGTTTGCCCTCATCTGCTGAAGGTTGCCAGAGTGTTTTCATGAGAAATCTTCCCTTTTTGTACTTTTGGGCTCCCAGGGAGATCAATGAATGCTATCTAATTACAATTTAAGCTAAAGAAGTGACATAGGAAGCATTGGAGAAATCAGAGATAGTGGCATGTTTATGTTTTTGCTTTTCCAGAGCAAGCTAAAGGATTGAATAAAGAACTGTGGAACATGAGTTTAGGGTTAAATTTAGTCTCTCACACGTTATAGAGGGGAGGTGAAATGTGCTGTGAACTGTGATTTTATATTTACCCTGTCTCCATCCTATGCCTTGTCAAATGCTCTGAGGAGCAAAAACTTTTTGTAGGAACTTTTCAGACCTTGTTCCAGGATAAGGACTCCTGGATGTAGGATGACACCTTATTTAGCTGCTCACCATAAAACATGGTTATTGGACTGAAGCCTGCAGCCCTGTCAGTGCTTCTGCTGAAAATTCACTTCTGTTCAAGCCATGCCCTTGAACAAGGATGAAAAAAGACTGAGGCCCTGTTCAGAGGCTATCTAGCAGGGTAGGGTTCACTTTGGCTGTCATCTTGAGGGGTGGCTGTTGGCAGTCCAGCACTTCTCAGAGAGAAGAGAGATTGTACCAAGAGAGCAGGAGAAAACAAATAATTTTATAAAAAAAATAAAAAAAAATCTTTAAAAGGGAGACTGGTTCCAGCCAGTCCTGCAGAAATTGCTTGCCAGAACATGTGGAGGGTGGAATGACTTAGGGCACCAGTAATGGGATACAGAGATTTGGACTGAGCTTAAGAGCTATCCTGGGACCTGTTATTTGGTCCTTCCAGCACGGTGAATGGCACTGCTGCTGGCGTTACCGATCAGGGAGGCCACTTCCAGCCTGGATTGCTGTCCCAGCCCTGGAAGAACTCTTTCCAGCTCTCTTGGCAGAGACCAGGAGCAGAAGAAGCTGCAGCTGCTGGGCTGGAGCTGCTCTGTGTATAGAAGGAAGGCAGAGATGCTTTCTTCCTGCTTTGTTTTTTGGGGTTTTTTGTTTGTAAGCAATTGCCACTTCTGTTTCTCTATTTATAGCAACGAGCACCTACGAGACATCAGATTGCTCTGTTAGTTACATGTGTGCATCTGGACTTAGCATTTTGCTTCCTTTTTAATTATTTCCCAGCTTGCCTGTTACAGTGGGCTGTTGGCTGATTTCCTCTCTCTCTCATTGCCCATTTACATCCTATTTTACACTGATTTAAATGGAGCATTATCTACCTTCCCACAGTGTTTCGTTCCTCAAGTCATCCCCACCTTTTACCATTGTTATTCCTAAACTGAAAATATTTTTTGCCCTTGCCTCCTCTTACATCATTTTCATGCTGACATCATGGCACCAATTCCTTCTCTCCCAGCTGGCCACACACACCCTCAGCTGAGGCAGGTGTGTGTCTTTTCTCTCAGGTAACCAGTGACAGGACAAGAGGAAATGGCCTCAAGTTGTGCCAGGGGAGGTTCAGATTGGATGTCAGGAAATACTTCTTCACTGAAAGGGTTCTCAGGCACTGGAACAGGCTGCCTAAGGGAGGTGGTTGAGTCCCCATCCCTGGAGGTGTTAAAAAGATGGGTTTCTCAGAGATCTGGTTTAGTAGTGGACAGGTACGGTTGGACTCGATGATCTCAGAGGTCTTTTCCAACCAGGAGATTCTATGATTCAATGATTCAGCTCATTTCCACATTTCCTCATCTGTGCTTTTGGCTCTTCCAACCCCAGCTCCTGAGATGCCTTCTTTTGACTTCTGATTCTCCAAATATCAGCACAGATATCTGCCCATGCAGTACAAAAGCTCTGTAGCTGTCCTGCCTTTCTCTCTACCATTCCTCCAGGGCTGAGGAACCCCTTCTCCATTGGCTCTACCACATCCTTTCTCTCCTTTCTCTTGCTAATTAGTTCTCAGATGCTCCCACATCCCACATTTGGAACAGGTTGCCTAGGGCAATGGTGGAGTCCCCATCCCTGGAGGGGTTGAAGAGTCGTGTAGACATAGTGCTGAGGGACATGGGTTAGTCGGGGACTTGTCAGTGTTGGGTTCATGATTGGACTCGATGATCTTAAAGGGCTTTTCCAATCGAGGCAATTCTGTGATTCTATGATCCCATAAAATATAGTGGGAAGTCAGTCATACACCCTGGAGTAATGGCCAAGATCAAAGCTGGACCAGGGCTGAGAACAGCGCTCAGGTCAGCTTTACTCAGAGCAGGATAAGTCAGTGTGTTTAACTTGGTCTGAAGACCTTGCAGCAAACAACAAACCCTAGTTTATTGACTACAGCCGAAGGGCTGCAAAGGCAACTGCAAACTAAGTCAGCTGTTTGGAGTCTGAAATTCAACCGAGAAGAATCTGCATCTTTCTAGAAAAGAGGGGTTCACCAGCTGAAAGAGGTTCAGAAGTGGTGGGATGGAGAAAGAACTATCTTCACTGGTGAGCTCATACTGGGAATGTGTGGTTTTCATCCTTGCTGAGTACTTTGCTACTGTGGTGAGTCTCCTTGCACACATGACTAAACATGAGTTGTATTATCAGCTCCTTTTTGTGTTGCTGTGCGCTACAATCCCCTAATCTTTGCTCCTACCTTTGAAGTAGATACCTTTGATCTTTCAAAATGCAGAGGCAGCGGAGGTAACAGGAGTGTAATTATGCAACACTGAATAACCCCAGGACAATGAAGCTAAAACTCCAGCTCTCAGAGAAAAGTTCTTGCACTGTGTAACATCTACAGTGGTCAAGGCCTCCATATTTCATCTCAAGGGAAAGGTTTAACCTCTGGTGCCTCCAGTATATTCAGTAAAATCAGAGAAAAACTCCATTTTCCACTCTGTTGACACAACATCTGCCTTTTTTTTACAAGTATTATTTTTTGATGTGCACGAAAGCAAAAGACTATATATCCTAGGCTTGATAAGCAGAGTGCCTTGCAAATATTCCTTGCAACAAGTTGTCATTATATCTCCTGTAGGTCTATAATCACCTCTGCTCTAGCAGTCCTAAGCCTAGGCTTGGGATATGGGCAATATTCCTTCACTGTGATGATGTTTCAAAAGTCCCTTGTTTTTTGCCTCTCTCCTCAGGGAAGTCAACAGAAGGAACATTAGGACAAGTCTTTCCTTTGAAAATTGCCTCTTATCCAGAGGCAATGAACAGCTGGATACTCTAAAGTGGGGTCTAAAGAGGTGTTTGGTGAAACAAAGCTAGTCTTCATAACTTAGATGGTTGCCAGCTTCCTAATTCTTCATCTCTCCTGTAGGTTCACAACAGAAACCTCCTGTCCCTTGACTTTGATCGTGTAACAAGGACAGAGAAAATCTATGATGACCACCGCAAGTTCACACTTCGCATCCTCTATGACCAGGCAGGGAGGCCAAGTCTCTGGTCACCCAGCAGCAGACTGAATGGGGTCAATGTCACCTATTCCCCAGGAGGTCACATTGCAGGGATTCAGAGGGGCACGATGTCAGAAAGGATGGAGTATGATCAGTCTGGCAGAATTACATCCAGGATCTTTGCTGATGGCAAATCGTGGAGCTACACTTACTTGGAGAAGGTAAGAATCTTCTTATCACTCAAGAGATGGTGCATTTGGTGCAAATGGGCTTTGCTCCTTTGACTTCAGTACAGCTGTGTTCCTTCCCATCAGCTGATTTATGGTTCTTATGGGCCAATACTCCTACATACACTAAGGTCCACATAGTAACTTTGATGCCAGACCACCAAACAGCAGTTGAAAAGAGCCTGAGATGTTGCTTCCCAGTCACACTGAGACCATGTCTTGATGCTGTGAAGCTTTGGCATTTGATTTTTTAAACCCAACATTCCTTTGCTGAGCTAGCTGCAGCATAAAATATCTTCAGGTAAAGACAGAGGAGTGAACTGTAGGAATTTCCAGTAGGATTTTCCATGTGACAACAATCTATACAGTCTGACATCCTACCTTCTTCGAGTGGCCCATTCCCCTTTCCTGCTTCGTAGGAAATACGTGTAATAAAAAGTGCAAGGCAGAAATCCAGCTAGACTGTTGTAGCACACTGGGCCATGTTTCCTGTAGTCTGCACTCTGTAGATCAGCACAGGTATTAAATTCTTCTGGGTATTACCATTCATTGTGACACTGCCTGGTGTCCTATAGATCCATAGGCTGCATACCTGGGGATGGAATTTTGTTATTCCCGAGTTTTGTATAGAACCTATCACTACAACAGTTTAATGAAACTACAACAACATAGCTTCTGAAAACCAAAAAGTATTGAATTGTCCCTTGTATTATACAATCTGTGTGGATTGTTTGTTACATAAAAAAAATAAATAAAATAAATAAATAAATAAATAAATAAATAAATAACTCCTAGAACAAATAAACATGCAGGGAGAAGTTTGCGGTCAGAGAGTAATAAAAGATCATAGAATCATAGAATCACAGAATGGTTTGGGTTGGAAGGGACATTAAAGATCATCCAGTTCCAACCCCCCTGCCAGCAGCAGGGACACCTTCCACTAGACCAGGTTGCTCAAAGCCTCATCCAGCCTGGCCTTCAACACTTCCAGGGAGGGGGCATCCACAACTACTTTGGGCAACCTAGGAATATACAGAGATGCAATGAATTAACGGGGCATTGGAAGGTGTCGGGGGGTATCTTTTTATCTTTGCAAGCATTGTTTGAGTAGCTCTACCAATTTTATTTATGTAGTCTGTAAAAGCAATTGGCACGGGGAATTTCGGTAGACACAGCTTGCTACAGGGTATTGATTCAAACTGAGCATTCTGAACTTAGACCTTCTTCACTTCATTAACTGCTTCTTCCTCTGACCCACTCTTACTCAGGGATACTCGATTTGCCATGCAGCTTGCAAGCCTCTCACCATTTAATCCTATGGGTGCAGAGATTTGTCTCACTTGCCCTGCTCCAATCTGAAGTTTGAAGAATCTTGCAGGTTTGTTGAGAGCTGAGTATAATTTTGCCTGAAAACCAGGAATATAATCTCTATTTTTCTCCTTCCCATCCAGTCCATGGTGCTGCTCCTTCATAGCCAGAGACAGTACATCTTTGAGTTTGATAAGAATGACCGGTTGTCATCGGTGACCATGCCCAACGTCGCCCGTCAGACTTTAGAAACCATTCGTTCCATTGGTTACTACAGGAACATCTACCGACCACCAGAAGGCAACGCCTCAGTCATTCAGGATTTCACAGAGGATGAGCAGCTGCTCCACACTTTGTACTTGGGGACTGGAAGACGTGTTATCTACAAGTATGGAAAGTTGTCCAAGTTAGCCGAGATGCTCTACGACACCACAAAGATCAGTTTCACCTATGACGAAACCGCTGGCATGCTGAAGACAATAAACTTGCAGAACGAAGGGTTCACGTGTACAATCAGATACAGACAGATAGGACCCCTCATTGATCGACAGATCTTCCGCTTCACCGAGGAAGGCATGGTCAATGCACGCTTTGACTATAATTATGACAACAGCTTTCGGGTGACCAGCATGCAAGCAGTCATCAATGAGACACCTTTACCCATTGATCTCTACAGGTACGATGACGTGTCAGGCAAAACTGAGCAATTTGGTAAATTTGGAGTCATTTACTATGATATTAACCAGATTATCACCACTGCTGTCATGACTCACACTAAACATTTTGATGCCTATGGTAGGATGAAGGAGGTCCAGTACGAGATATTCCGGTCGCTGATGTACTGGATGACTGTGCAATATGACAACATGGGGAGAGTGGTTAAGAAAGAGCTGAAGGTTGGCCCTTATGCAAACACAACTAGGTACTCATATGAGTATGATGCTGATGGCCAGTTGCAGACAGTGTCTATCAATGACAAACCACTCTGGCGTTACAGCTATGACCTAAATGGAAACCTCCATTTGTTGAGTCCAGGCAATAGTGCCCGTCTTACACCGCTCAGGTACGACCTCAGGGACCGGATTACCAGACTGGGGGATGTGCAGTACAAAATGGATGAAGATGGCTTCCTGAAGCAAAGAGGCAATGATGTTTTTGAGTATAATTCAGCTGGCCTGCTCATCAAAGCCTACAATAAAGCTAGTGGGTGGAGTGTGAAATACCGCTATGATGGCCTAGGAAGGAGGGTCTCTAGCAAAACCAGCCATGGCCATCACTTGCAGTTCTTCTATGCAGACTTGACCAACCCAACCAAGGTCACCCATTTATACAACCACTCAAGCTCCGAGATCACCTCTCTCTACTATGACCTCCAAGGCCACCTCTTTGCAATGGAGCTCAGCAGCGGTGATGAATTCTACATAGCCTGCGATAACATTGGCACTCCTTTGGCTGTCTTCAGTGGGACTGGCTTAATGATTAAGCAGATACTGTACACAGCATATGGGGAGATCTATATGGACACCAATCCCAACTTCCAGATCATCATTGGCTACCATGGAGGACTGTACGACCCCCTCACAAAGCTTATCCACATGGGACGGAGAGACTATGATGTGCTAGCGGGTCGGTGGACGAGTCCAGACCATGATATGTGGAAGCATCTGAGTAGCAATAACATAATGCCTTTCAACCTGTATATGTTCAAAAACAACAATCCCATTAGCAACTCTCAGGATATCAAATGTTACATGACAGGTAAGACATTTAAATTCATTAACATCTTCACAAGCTTGCCATCGGTGAATAGGTTTCTTCTCTCTCAGTATCCTGGTCACCATGAGGTTTGCCAGTGTTTAATATAAAGGACACAAGTTTTCTTTGCCAGTTGACCCCTATGTCCACAGCATGTTTAATTCATTAGCATGGATGGAAATTGTAATTCCCAAACCTGTTTCCTTTTCTCTTCCTTGGTGTTTGTTCTCTTTATTTTGCTTCCAGTTTTTTGTTCCCTGAAATATCCCAAGTTTAGCTACCGATTAATGTCCTGATAACCTTTCTCTTTGTGGAGGGGCAGCTCTGTTTGCACAGTTCTGCCTAGAGATTTATTTGCAACTAAACAAATGACATGCAGATTTGTTTTAGTAGGATGGCAACAGCGACTTAAACCTTTTATTACGGTCAGCTATTTCAGAGCACGCTACAGTAACCATGTAGTTCAAAGTTAATCTGCCCCACAGAATTAAGTTCCTCCTCAAAGTCAATAAAAGCAGATGCGTTAGACTTAAAGGCCAGATTTTAGGGCGTACTTACCCCACAGCTTCACATAACCTCTGAACCTCTTCCCCTGGGACTTTATCAAATGGCAAAAACATGAGCTCTATCTAATGTTTTTTATACAGAAAATCATTCTGTAGGTTAAATATCCTTCCTATATTCATCCTTTGAGCGGACTGTTTTGCTGGGACTCTTTTCTATATAGTTCCCATTGGAAAGCCAGGTGACACAATCACAAACCAAATGTACATACTTAAGGAGATCTAATTAATTTTTAACTGCTCCTGCTGCCTCTGACAACTTTCCCATATGCAACAATATTGGCATTTCCCTAAATTATGAGATCGACTTAATAGCAAAAAATGTTACACAATAAAAATCCTGGGTTGTTCCTGGTCGTTAGGGCAGTGAAGGGCCTGAAGAACGAGTTCTCTGAGGAGTGGCTGAGGGAACTGGGGTTGTTGAGCCTGGAGAAAAGGAGGCTGAGGGGAGACCTTCTGGCTCTCTCCAGCTCCCTGAAAGGAGGATGGAGAGAGGTGGGGGTCTGTCTCTTCTTCCAAGTAACAAGAGACAGGACAAGAAGAAATGGCCTCAAATTGAATATGAGAAAAAACTTCTTCACTGAAAAGGGTGTCAAGTGTTGGAACAGGCTGCCCAGGGAGGTGGTGGACTCAACATCCCTGGTGATATTTAAAAGATAACTAGATGAGGTGCTTAGGGACATGGTTTAGAGGTGGAGTTGGCAGTGTTGGGTTCATGGTTGTACTCCATGATCTTAAAGGTCTTTCTCAACCACTACAATTCTGTTCTATTCCACTCTCCTTTAGGATTTGTGCTTTCAGGTTCTTATGCAATAATCATAAGGATTAGGATGTAATTTTTTAATGCAAAGCTGTTTTCTCCAGAGCTGAAAAGATGATGCCATGAGGGAAGTAAAATATGCCAAAAGATGCAGACTAAGATCCTGCATATTGGCCTCACTCTGGTAATTAAGGCTGGCAGGGAATACTTAGAGATAACTTTTCCTATCAGAAAATGCTCATTTGTCAAAACTGAATTTGTTTATGGGAGAGGGTTGAGCTTCAGAGATTTTTCAGCAGAAATGTTGTAAACAACTCTGAAAATTGTCTAAATGACAAATTCCAAAATAGCCTAAAAGAAAAATTTCTTTTTGGTTTTCAACCTTTTCAAGTTAAGTGTAAAGTAATGATTGAAAACTGGAATAAAAAAGTTAAGAAGTCAAAACCAAGATGGAAGATCTTAATTTGAAATAGTTTTCTTGAGCTAATCTAGTTTTTGAACAGTTGCTTTGTGACATATTAACAGATTTTTTTATTTTCCTGCTCAAGTTAAGACAGGACAAAATTTCCAATCCTATCTTGGAACAGGCAAGCAACTCCCTACCTAGCACTGATGATAACATCAAGATGTCCAAACCTGATACTTTAATATTTTATATGCACCAAATGACTTTTTCCACGGTCATAAAGCTTCTATTTTTAGTCTTTCAAGAATATAGAGCCCAATATACAGATTTTAAGTTTCTCCTCTCCCACTGCATGGAAAAAACAGGTCACCTTATGGGATGAGTGCCATGATGGAAGGCTGCTGCTCTGGCATTTCTTTCTGCTGAAGCTTTCAGGCACCTCATGGGCAGGACCTATGATGAGCTTGTCCTTGTCATCAAAACCAAATCCGCCCAGATTTTGACACAGGGAACCACTCTCTGTCCCTCTCTCCCCACCCTGGGACCCACAGTCCTTTGGGGAGTTCAGCACCCAGGATGTGAGCAAACAACACACACGTTTCTCTCCAACAATGAGGTTTCTGAGCTCGTGGGTACAAATTGGAGGCATGTGGAAGGGAGAACAGGGGAAGGAGGTATTTACATTTTGAGAGGCCCGTTGTTAAACATGAATATTTTAGCAATTGTACACTTCATGGCACAGAGCTTTGCTGCCAGCTTCAGCAATCCTGATGGATTGAACTGACATTTCCATTACATGTGTCTGCATTAAGCACTCTTTTTCTTTGCCCTCAAATGAATTTAGTAGGAAATGTGTTGTCAGGGTTACTGTAGCTGAAAAAAAAACCTCTGTGATGTGAAATGTACTTTTCTATCAAAAAAGTTGTCACTGCCTCTTGGCAAATTAATATTTTCCCCTCTGTTTTCTCAGCTACACACCTTCCTCCCATGATTTTGGGTAGGAGTTGTTTTTTTCTTTTTTTTTTTTTTTCTTTTCTGGATATTCCAACACCTCTTCCCAAAAAGAACAAACTCCTATTTGCAAATGTTTTGAAAGTCAGTTTTCTGAAAAGTTTCAAAAAAAAAAAAGCCTGTCTTGAATCTCTCCAGACATGTTACATATTTTTCTGCTGTTCAGCATCCCTGTTCTGTATCCTTTTTAACATTTGTGAAGTGCTTGGAAAATGGTTCCTGCACCGATGCCGACCTTCACTGTTTTACTTTGTTCTCCTGACCACCTGGTCCACAATATGTACATCAAAGGTCTTCATTTCACATGAGAAGGATTTGCAAGCAGACCGGCTTAGCACTAAGCAAAAAAATAATCAAATGAGCCTTTTAATTTCTTTCCCTCCCTCCAACCTCTCTGTTTCAAAGACACTCCAAAAACAGTCTGTACATTGAGTGAACAGAAGTGTTTTTATTACAGAAATCCTCTCCCTTCCACATGGATTGTCACAAGGGCTTTTTGGACATCTGCCCAATCTCAACATTTTGGCCTGTAAGAAAACAAGCAACAGATAGTGTGTTTGTTTGGCTCCTGGTTCTCCAGTCATCTGGAAGTGCCTTATTTGCCACTTGCATCCATAATTTCTTTTCCAACCAGTTCTTTAAAACGTTCATTTGGGCTTAAGGGGAATAGAGAAAAAAAAAAAAAAAACAAACCAAACAAAATACAAACACACACAAAAAAAAAACATTCAAAGGTGCATATTTGATTCTTTAAATTGATCCCTTTTTCAGACTGTTTCAACAATATTTATTGAGTTTAGCAAAATGAAAATCAAGGCCCTTGCACATCCAGCTCGAAGCAGAGCAATCACCGACACAATCCTGGTTATATGCAAAACACTTAAGACCCCTGGGAGCTGCTATTAGTTAAACTTTACCTTCATACCTTTATTTTTCTTGTAATTTCTATTTGTGTGCCAAATGCAACACCGTATTGCTTAGGGACTGTAGAAGGTGTGTCCTTCTCTAGAGTTCAGTGAAGGCAAACAAGGTGAGATCATCAAATGATCTGAAGTTAGAGGGGGAAGCAATGCTGAGCAGATCTAGGAGTTAGCCAACCTCATCCTTATTTCCTCCAGCAGATTAACATTCAGCTGCTAATCCTAATAGCTATGCAATCAAAAATCAGAGATGACTTTGTAGTTTACTGTCAGGTGATTGCAGGAATGATGTCCCAAATGATTGGGTTTTCCATCATGTCCCCTCTAGCGCCAGTGGTCCTCCTTTTACATAGGACAGTAGTTTATTGCTTGTAGACAGTAGCTTTCTCACAATCCATGGATTTGTTTCCAAGAGGTTTGTGAAAAATACAGAAACAAAGTAGTCTTGTATCTCTACACTTATTTGCACTGGAATGTACCTTGCAGGTAGTGTGGAAGGTGATTTTAAATGTCACTATAAAAGATGGCAAGTGACTTTACACTGGTTTAATTCTCAAACTACAGCTCCTTATGAAAAATGCCAAGAAACTCAGGACTGAGGTGGAAGAGCCTCTTCCATGAGCACCTGTTAAATGACCATGCTGTTTGTCCTGGATATCCTGGTATTCTGGCTCACATAGCTCTAAATTTAGTCTTTAGCCTGCAGACCCTTTGAGAGGCCTTAAGAAGACAAGTATTGTGGCTGAGATGTTCAGAGATGGTGGTAGGACTGGACAACACCTCCCATGTAGCTGGAACATCCCAGCCTCCATTAGTGTATTAGTGTTCCTGTGCTGCTTCTACATAGCTTAGAGGAGTGCCTGGTCCCTGCTGACGTAAGGCCAACGTGGAGTTGGCTTTGTTTTGTGCCATTTAGTCACTGCCAAAGTTTCTGTTTCAGAGCTGGGAAAGTGCAGAATTGAAATGTGGTTGGAGTTGGAAAGACCAGCCTTGGCACACGGTTGTTTCAAGGACCATTAAGATTTGTGCTTTTCACACAAAGTAGATACTCATCATTTTGGCCAGAGTGCTACAGTGCCAGGCACCATAGGGTCCTCCTCTGTGCCATTCTCTAGGCAACCCTACTTGAGAGATCAGATAATCTGATTGATGCTTCTCTTCCCTTCCAGATGTCAACAGTTGGCTGCTCACCTTCGGGTTCCAGCTACACAACGTCATCCCCGGCTACCCCAAGCCAGACATGGATGCAATGGAGCCATCCTATGAGCTAATCCACACACAGATGAAGACCCAAGAATGGGACAATAGCAAGGTGATCTATGCAACTCCATACTGTATCTCATATCCCTATCAACAAACTATCTAGTTGCAATCTTTATTAAAAAAACTTCTATCAACATGTTCTCCCAGACACAGTGGGAGAGTAGGAGCAAGTCAGTAATGAAATCTGACTGAATAATTGCATCTTAAATTCCTTCCTTCCATGGTGCTTATTTCTGTCATGTTTTCTGGTGGTTGCTCAATGAAATGGTGTGTTACTGTTCCTTTCTCCCACAAGAGGCCATGTTACCATATAACTTAGGCTAAGTTCAAGGCCTTTGCACCAAAGATTCTTGGGGAAAAAAAAAAAGAAGTCTTGATACAGAATCATTTTCTACAGATTTCTTTTCTAGAAATTTATTCAGTCTGGTTTAAGATGTCTTAAAACAACAAGTCCCAGTACTTCCCTAGGAAACAGTTCTGCATGACAGTGGGTCTCACCAAAAAGACATTTTAGCTGATAATTAACTTTTATTTTACCTGACTGGGTTTAATGACAAGTCACCATGTCCTGCTTTTAAAAACAGGCCTGCATCACAAGCCATTTTGGTAGATACTGGTGCAAAATTCAATGACAAAATTAACAAGAAAAAGCTTTTACAGCCCAGTCATTTCCCCTTCTCTTCCTGTTGGGAATTATCCATCTGAAAGATGGAGGCAGGGCTGTTAAAGGTTAGCACAATGGGTCAGGATCCGAGAGCTCTGGGTTACTGCTTATTGGTTGTATGACCTTGAAAGAGTCATTTACCTCTCAGGATACTCTTTCATCTCCTAGCCTGATTTTATTCTGGTTTTGCTTTCACCTATTTAGTCCAAATCCTCTTTAGTCTAAATTCCTGCTTGCTTTTGCTGTGTATTCAAACATCGTGAGAGCAATGAGGCACCAATTTGTTTGGGGAGATCAGGATATGCTTTTAACATTTTTGCTAATAAAATTATAACAGTAGGAAGTGGAACTTATCCCAGCTGCCCTCTTGGACTCTTTATCTATGAGTTCACTGAAATCTCACTGTCCTGCAGCAGATTCTTGAGGTCCTGTACACATATTTTACCAGGAGGTAAAATAGCAGTGTCACATTTCTCCAGCTACAAAAGGTGTCACTCAGCAAGATACTGTGGATTAATAAAATAGTCATGTGTCAGCCCAGCCTTGGTGCTCAGCTTCATAGATATGGTGAAGACAAGTTAATACATACTTCAACTTCAACAAGAGATTTATATTAAGACATATCACTTTATAATAGAGAAGGACCGAAAGAGTTATGCCTTTTGCTACCATGGTGGAGTTGATGCTTGAAAGCCATTGTGCCATCTTAGTTGTGTCAGAGACTCCATTTTTGTGTCTCTCTTCTTTGGATTAAACAATAAAATGCTAATAGAGATGATTTATATAATAAGAAATAGCCTCAGGTTTTTTTCTTTCTCTCTGATGTGACACAGTGTCCCCAGGCAAAACTGTACAAGAAAAGGCTCATTCAGAGACTGCACAAAAGATTGTCTCTAAATTGTTTTGTGCAGTAGATAATAAATCTCACAGATCTGCAACAGAAATTATTATTATTGATGGTGTTGTTATTATGATATCATTATTTTACCATTAGCTCATTATTATTATAAGGCTTATTTAATAGCCAAGTAACTTGAGTGACAGCTTGAGATGAAGACTGCCACTTGCTCATACAGGCAGCTGAGCTGGAAATAAAACCGAGGAGCCATCCTTTCCATCCACCCATTTTAGCTGAATCTGCCTGAATGAGCAATAAGAAGAAAAGAAAATCTTTGTGTCTCCTTCAGATTTATAAAGCAAGAAGTTGAAGTGAGGATTGTGCAGGGTCCTTGCTCGGTAAAAGAAAGCTTCATGCAGTCATCGTGCTTCCAGATGAGTCACTTTCCACTCACCGTGTTGAAAGCGGAATTTAACCATTGCGGGTTGTTTCGTATTATTCCCTGTGTTATGACAGCAGCAAAACAGGAGCATTTTTATTTTAGTCTACAGTCACAGGATCACGCTGTGACAGCGAGTGGCTCTCAACTGCTATAGAGCAGGATTCCCTTCCTTTCTGTCACATCCAGCATATTGTAGGTATCTATTTGCATAAGAGAAATTCATTCACATATGATACCTGAACATCTGATCCATTTTCTCCTAAGTCTATCCACACATTCAACACTAATGTTTCACGTGTAGTTCTGTTCACTCTCAACCCTTCCAGCCCCACATACATGCTCCCAGGCACAATCCAGCCCTTCTTCCTACTGGTTATGTCTGTATTTATTGATGAAACATGTAGAAGAAAATATAAACTTTTGAAAATTTCACATAGCAAATGACAGAATTAAACGAAGTTAAATGGAAACACAGGAAATATTTTCAGATAATAAGACTGATCAAACTGTGAAATGGTCTTCCAGAGCATATGGAGGAAGCTCCAGATCTTTTGTCATTTCAAAGTAGCCTGGGCAAGCCACTGGACAATGTCCATCATGCATGAAATCCAGGGACAGTCTCTGAAGGATGTACCACAGCTTTTTCATCTCCACATCTTCCAGTCCCTGGTTTCTCTGGGTCATATACTTCCTTGTGATAGACCAAAATAAACTTGAGTTCCTTCACTGACTTTGCTGATCAAGGCTGTGGCCCAGCAGTTTCGATCACCTCTTTTACCAGAGAGGAATGAATAACAGGAGCACAACAGCAAACCAACTAACTCCACGTAAATGGCTTCTTCCTGCTTCTTCAGAGTGCATAACCAGAGGGCTCGAACATCTCCTTCCAAAACATTGTTGGCACTTGCCTTGCAGGGCTGGAAGAAGGGAGAGAGAGAATTCTAACTCTGAGCATCCAGCAGCTCAGGAACAGGCAGCATATCGTAAACCTTGCAGTTACCCCCTGCAGCTCCAGAGTGACATTTAAAATCCAATACTCTGTTGTGCAGCACTTTCCCCCTCTCCTCCCTGTGACCGTGAGGCTGTCACTAAATTGTTTGTTGAACAAGTTGAGTGTTATTGGCCACCAGGGGACTCTAGGTGACCTCTGGCATATTGTGGAGCTGCTGCACCTGAATCCAATTTCTCTTTTTTTTTCTTTTTTTCTTTTTTT